AGCCCTCCTCTGGCCCCGCTCCAACAGGTCCATGTCCTCCTTGTGCTGAGGGCTCCAGAGCTGGACGCAGGGCTCCAGGTGAGGTCTCACCAGAGTGGAGCAGAGGGGCAGAATCACCTCCCTCTCCCTGCTGACCTCGTCGTGTGAGCTGATGGAGGGCGACTGGGATATAAGTATACACATGGGGAAAATACCGCTCTCTTCCAGAGCCCCACTGGTGACAGCACAGGGAAAAGCAGGTCCGATCTGGAGCCAGTAGCTCTGGTGCAGCCCACTAGGCTCTGATCTCCTAAGGGTCAGAATTTGGCTGGGCTTATCTTAGAGCAGCCGTTCCCAATCTGCCCAGGATGGACCAGGCATGCAGATGAGTGTTGGAGCTGAGCTGACTAACTCTGGGGAATGTCTCCTCCTGCAATGAATTTTTTTTTTTTTTTTGTCTTCTCTTTCCAGTGCTGGAATAGGACGCACAGGCACCATCATAGTGATAGATATTCTGGTGGATATTATTCACAGGCAAGGTATGTCTCCCTGTCTGTCTCACGGCCTTCACCATTTAGCCTTGCTCTGACCAGTTACAGGATAACCCTGCTCTTGTGCAAGCGGTGGGTACACGATCTCCAAGCAGTGGCCTGAATGTGGGACTGTACTGGGTCAGGCTGCGTAGTGCCGTGCTTTCTATAGGCGTGTAGAAAGGGGTTGATAACACACCAATGTTTTGGCTACTGCTGAGCAGGGCTCGAACAGCATCAAAGCTGTGCCTCCAATATTCCCCCCCACCAGTGGGCTGGAAGGGGGCAAGACCTTGGGAAGGGGACGTAGCCAGGACACCTGACCCAAACCAACCAAAGGGATATTCCATACCACGTGACGTCAGCTAAGATATAAAAATGAAGGGAAAAGGAAGAGGAAGGGGGAATTCGTCTTTTATAACATTTTGTCTTCCAGAGGAAAAACTATGTGTACTGAAGCCCCACGTTGGGCACCAAAAAGGACTGTGGTGGCACCGGGCATCCAGCCAAGGTCAAACCACTACAGGGGCGCGGAGGGCTTGTGTACTGTGCCCAGGTCCCCTTTTCTCTGTGGGCCAAGAAACGGAGCTCTAGCATAAGGAAAAATGAACCCTCTCCAAGTGGGTGTGCGGATGGGCAGCCCTCTAGTAAGGGAGATGCTTTCAGCCACACAGCACAGGAGAGTCTTCTCCTTGGCATCAGGGCGGCCAGGATTCCAAGGTCTGCTGGAAAACCCTCTTTTATTGAGGGAGGAGCAGGGGAAAACAGGTTCAGTAAGGGTGTAACTCCAGTAGCCCTTTTAGAAATAAGTCCCCCACACTTTTCTGTGTAGAAGGGCCATCACCCTTACCTGAAATTCTAGAGCTGTTGTGGACCTCTCCATGGTATCTCTGGGTCTGGTCTGGGAACCGTGAGGTAGGGGGACCCTCTTCAGCAATGCTTGTATCTATTTCATAAACTGTGTAAGGGTGGGAAGTCTGGATCTGTAGGAAGTTACTGCAGAAGAGACCTAATTCCCCCTCCCCTTGCTCTGAGCACGTCAGCCCTGCCTCAGCCATTCTCAGTCCAAGGTGCTCTGGCAGGGGAAAAAAAGATAACATAAAAAATCCCCTGGGCACAGAGATGCACCAAATCCTTTCCCAATATTCCAGGGCTTCCCTGGCACTGTATGCAGCGACATACTGAAAGCTTTTGACGTCTTAAGAAAATAATTTTTCAGCCTAATTCCCCCTCCCTCAACCTCACCTTCTCACTCTCCATCAGGTTTGGACTGCGACATCGACATCCCCAAAACTATCCAGATGGTCCGCAGGCAGCGTTCAGGCATGGTGCAGACGGAGGCGCAGTACAAGTTTGTTTACATGGCTGTTCAGCAGTACATCGAGGCGGAGCAGAAGAGGTTGGAAGAAGAACAGGTAAGTCCCGTTCAGCTTGGTGGGAAAAGCAAGGGCAGAACTTGGCCTGCACCAAACCCCACTTCCACTCCCACCTTCTCCCCGGAACTCAGAAAGAATCATAGAATTGTTCAGGTTGGAAAAGACCTTAAAGATCACCCAGCCCAACCGTTCCCCTAACCCTGCCATCCCATCACCAAACCCTGGCCCTAAGCACCTCATCCATCCTTCTTTTAAATCCCCCCAGGGATGGGGACTCGACCCCTTCCCTGGGCAGCCCCTT